TCCATCTCATTTCCCTTTGTGGTTGCTGTAGGTGATCTGGAAGTCTGGTTTTGAGACTTATTTACATGTTTTCTCATTTCGACTGGGGTGTGTGGCTGTTAGCACCTGCACAGATTACCTCCTCTGAGCTGAGTGAGGTGGAACAGAGGCCGGGAGCAGTGGTAGTGATGGTGACCCAAAAGCCCTTTCCTGTGAGCTGGGAGCAGCGGGAGGGACGGTGGCCTGGAAGCCCCTTCCTCTGGACCAGGAGCAGTGGGATGGTGGCTCAGAAGCCCCTCCCTCTGGGCTGGGAGCGGTGGCAGAGATGGTGGCCTGGAAGCCCCTTCCTCTGGGCCAGGAGCAGCGGGACAGAAGGTAGCCCAAAAGCCCTTTCCTCTGGGCTGGGAGCAGCGGGAGGGATGGTGACCAGGAAGCCCCTTCCTCTGGACCAGGAGCAGTGGGACGGCGGCTCAGAAGCCCCTATCTCTGGGCCAGTATCAATGAAGTCTTACCCCTCAAAGTTCATGTATAATCTCATCTTTCCATTATCTCATATCTTCTTTGTTGGATAGCCTCTTGATACTCAAATTTTACTTTTCTGGTGTAGAACAAACGTCAAGATGATAAAGTTTGAACAAGCTCATTATCCAGAACTAAAAACAGATCCATGACATGGGGAGTATTCTAGTCAGATTTCTTGATAGGGTCAATTTTCAAAATGTCTTTAAGGCTTTAAGCTCTTGAAGAGCAAAATAATGTGTTACATTTATTTAGTCTCTCATAATGTTATGATTAGAAAAGGATCTTTTGCCAGGGATTTAGCTCACCTGCACAAGGACCCAAGTTCGATCCCTGGTAACATAAATACATACATACATACATACATACATACATACATACATAAATCTGCAACCATAAAAAAAAAGAAAGAAAGAAAAGGACCTTTTACAGTTAGTGAGGCAGAGCTATTTACTTATCACATATCCATATGCTCTCCTACATAGCTCCCTCACAGGCAACCACATGACTAGTTTTGGCCACTGGGCTATGAATGGAGGTAATATGTATTGCTTTGAATAGAAAAGCATTTGTGAGCCAACTATATAACCCTTCTTCCCATGGTGACAAGGGATACAACATGTTGAGAAGAACTATAAATGCAAACAGCTTAGCTCTCCTGACTACTAGACCTACTTGTAGACTTCTCTACGAGTGAGAAAATGACTAATTCATTGAGATTTGGGAGATTATTTGTTATTGTTGCTGTTGTTGTTGTTGTTGCTGCTGCTGCTACAGCATGACCTTGTCTGTCCTAAGGTATCTGATGTCCAAGCATCAATTTATTTTAACCTATAATTCTGTTTAATATGGTACCAATTATGTTCTAAGCTCTCAACTGCAATGAAAATTCTCTACCTTATGAAAATAAAAGCAAGATCCACATTCCTGACCCAAACAGGACAGTCAGATATGCAAACAAACTATAATGTTTATATTATAATAAGAAAGGTAAGAGTTTCAAAAGCAGGACAAAGAAGGGAGAAATTCTGAGTAGGTGAAGGAATATCCATGGAAAGTGTTACAGCCAAAGTATGGACTCTGTAAAGTCTTGAAAGATGAATAAAATGACTTCCATTGTGCTCATGAACAGAAGGAACATATGTGCAAAGACATAAGAGAAAAATACTTGTTTCCTCAATTTGAGGGTGCAATGTCACTGCTAAAAGTATTAAAATAGATAAGAAAGTATAATCTAACAACAATTATAAAAATCTGAGCATCCTTTTGCAGAGGCCAATTACAAGATTTCATAAGTATGAAGATATATCATTATATCATACCATACATTTTATAGATTACTACCTCTATTTTTAAAGTATTTAATATAAAAAACTGATGATAGTTACCCATCATCTATATTGTCAATTATCCATTTGGGAAAGCACCTTGACAGTATTTCTCCTAAAGAATGTTGATACAATAAGCTCAAATAAGTATTTAGTTGATTTTTTTTTTCTGGTATGGGGGTTGAACTCAGGACCTTGTGCTTTCGAATGGACAAAATATTTCTATTACAAAATTCAGGAAGTCAACCTTCAAAGTTTTGAAAACTGTTGGGCCCAGCTGGTATTAAATCAGTCAACATATCAAATATTATTGACATATTATTTGTATCATACTTTGGGTAACCTAGATGTAAGATCTCAAGATTGACTCTTTTTTCTGAAAGAGAAAGGGAAAAGAGAGAGAGGGAATGAGGGAAGTTGAAAGGGAAGGACCAGGTAGAAGACAGGGAAGATAGAAAGTAAAAGAAAAAGAGGGGAGGAAAGAAAGCTTTTAGTTATTAAAAGGGATTATATTTCTCTTTTCATAGGAGTCCAGAGTCTCATAAATATTAAAATACTTTAGTTCATACTCTTTAGGCAAGTGGGTAATCACAAAAGTGATTTTCTTATTTACAGTCTTTAAGATTTTTAATCTAGCTAGGTTATCTGTAAAAAAGCAGCACTTTCCTCAAACCAAATTAAAAGCTATAAATCTGTCTCTAATGTAAAATATCTTTGAATATTTAGTCTTATAAGTATCTAATCATTTACTGGAAAAACAATTACATATATATAATTAAAAGTTGACTATAAATGGCACTGCCACTGTGGAAAACCAAATGGCAGTTCCTCAAAAAAATGAATGATGCATTTATTACATGATCCAGCATTCCACTACCAGGTATAACCCTAAAAGACTTGAAAGCAGGAACCCAAACAAATGAATGCACACTTATGTTTATAACAGCATTACTCACAATAGCCAAAAAGTGGAAACAATTTAAATGTGCACTGACAAATACAGAAACAAAATGTGATATATATATCACACACACACATACACACAGTAGAAGATTACACACACACACACACACACACCATGGAAGATTATTCAGTCTTAAAAGGAAAGAAATTCTGACATGCTACAACATAAATGAACCTTGATGACATGATCCAGACACAAAAGGATAAATATTGTACCATTTACATGAAGTACTTAGAGTAATACATTTTAGAGACAATATAAGATGGTGGTTGCCAGGGGCTGGACGGAGGAAATTAGGAGTTATTGTCAATGGTATAAAATTTCTGTAGGGAAGATGAGAAAGTTCCGAGACAGACGGTAGTAATGGCTGCAACAATGTGAATGCACTTAACAACACTGAACTGTACATTTAAAAATGGTTAAAATGGTAAATTGTATGTATTTACCATAATAAAATTTGATTATAAATATTTTATTGCCATATACAAAATCAATTAGTTGAGCATTTGACAAAAGTCATTCATTACATTAAGGTACCATGGCTTAGACTAACCTGAAAACTCCAGCCCATTTCTTAAGTAGTATTTCATTGTATTGATCTCTTATTTCAAATAAAAGGTCAAAAAGTCGATTCACCGGAAAACCATAACCCTAAAATATATTTAAAAAGTCAACTGTGTAAAAATTATTCATACAAAATGTTAGGCATACTAGATAATCATTTGAAAAGAATCAGTAGATCACACCGTACGTCATTCTAAAAGCATAGGAAAAATTTCCTTTCGATTTTCTACTAGAGTGTATTAAGTAAAAAACAGGTCTAGAAAGAGTTTTATGGCATCAACATAATTTTTCCTTTTCTCCTGTCTCTTTTCAGTCAACATTACCTGCATTAGCCTCAAAAAGTATTTCCTATCTATGATAATAGTTCTATCATCAATCCAGTTTATTAACAAACTTAAAAATCATCTAAACTCCCCCATACACATTTAATCAATTACCAAGTACTTTTCATTTCATCTCCTTTACAAACCTCTTTCAAATATGTCATTCTTCTCCAACATCTACCTATCTTTTTTTCTTCTAGAAATATTCCCAGTATAATTGCTTTATTTCAGATCCTTCACATCTCTTCTCTAGACCACTTTAAGAATTTCCTAAACTGAAATACCAACTACCTGTTTCTTTTAACTGAATAAGTTGCCTAGACTCTCAAAATTCCAAGTGTAAACCTGATTGATCATGTCATTCCCCTGGTTAAAAACATAAAAGGCATATTAAAAGTCTCACAAGACCTGACACAATCTACATCAAACTACCTTAACAATTTCCTCACCACTATTTGCACTTCCTTGCTGACACCCATATATTGCACTTTCTAATACTACCAAGCTGTTCAACCAGTTTCACATTCACTATACCATACGTCTATCTACAGTTCACACATATTCATTTCTCTTCCATAAATGCTTTTCTTCTTATACTTGCTGAACTTATTCTTCAGAATCTAGCTTCCATTTTAATTTCCCCTATAGCCTTCTCCAACTCCTAGAATCAAAATTAGTTACTTTATTTTCTGTGTCCCCAAAGCTCTTTTACATGTTGCTATATTATATTGCCTTATTATACTGCCTTATCAAATACCTTATTTGTTCACAACTAAACTGAATTTCTTAAAGCTAAGGACTTTTATGTCCCTATTGTGTTACTAATTTTATGTCTCTACCAATCTGCAAATCAACTAACTGTTAGCAGGTAATGAATGCTCAAAAGTGTTAGTGAATAAATCAACAAATGTTTACTTTTGATTTGCTCAATAGGCAGTAAGAAAAACTATAAATGTACTAGTTTTAACTTTTACTTTATTGTTCAGTCACCAATGATAAAACAGACATTTAAAAGGTAAAATTTCCAATAAATTCAAAAAAACTATAAATTATATAACAGTCTTTTTTTTTTTTTTTTTTGGTACCGGGGATCAAATTCAGGACCTTTCGCTTTCGAGGCAGGCGGTGGAATCACTGAGCTAAATCCCCAGCCCATATATAACATTCTTTAGGTTTTTTTTGAAAAGTCACTTCCATTCTTCAATTAATAGGTATAAATTAAAAAGCTAATATTGGTAAATTTAGTGTAAGATCTACCTAATAAGACTGTCAATTTTCAATAAAATGAAAATACTATAGAATTTCTAAATAAGTAGAAAGGACTGGTGTTTTTCTTGATCTTATTTCAAAGCAATGAATTAGAACGGCATCCTTGCAAGGTTTACATAACCATCACTGTAGCTTTTTCAATGCCTGTATTACCTGGGTTCTTTCTACTATATCATGTGTCTTTTTAATTACAAAAATACTTTATTCTAACTGAATGGCCAATATTTAAAAAGACAGTAAAGGGTCAGGGATTTAGCTCAGTGATTCTGCTGCCTGGCCCGCAAGCACAAGGAACCAAGTTCGATCCCCGGTAACAAAAAAAAAAAGACAGTGACATTTCTTGAGCTCTTTCCAAGCTTCATAATTGGGAAGGAGGTGGTATGAATAATCCTGGGTAATAGAGGAATATACAAGTAAACACTTATTGCTACTAGTTTGCTACCCATGAATCCACAATAAAATAAGCACTCTTTAAGTGCTCAAAATAGCCATTAATAGACTATTAACACTCACCTGTAAAGTATCTGCAAAAATTACAATGAGATTCTTCAGCTCTAAAACAAGATCAGGGTCAGTGCAGTAAGACTGAGGGAATATAGGACAGGTAGGTGTGGGGGAGGAAACAAAAAAACAAAAAGACAAGAGTCATTTAGTTAAAAATTAAGCACCTGTTTTTACTTTTAATCTACCAGAATTACAATAAAATTAAAATCTTGATTAGACAGATTAAACTATTGCTCTATTTAATATAAGTTTTCAGGGAGAGATCAAAATATGACATATCAAAATGTAACTATTACATAAAAAAATCTTTCTGAAATATGCACACTTAAAAGAACTGGTCAAAACAATAATGCTTGTATTTCTAAAAGTCTTTAGATTTTAAGGAACTTGTTATTTTAAACTGAAACAATGATTTTCACATAGACCACATATTTTTATTTTACATTATCTGATTATCTTATATAAGAGCCACATATTTACTTTTTCCAATATAAGAATGACAATTTAAGTACTTCTTAATAATTAACTAAAGAAAACTACTAAAGTCAAAGGGATAGTGAAATTTATTGTCCCTTTAACAGCATTTAATACGAATTTAATTTTTAATATTTACATTAAATATTATGACTCCATATTTAATGTCACAAAATGAATGGGAAACATACAAAATTTTATATATTTAGAGCTGATATGAATAGAAACCATGATAAAATGTACTATTTTTGGGCTTGAGTTACACCTCAGTGTTACAGCAGTTGCCTAGCATATATGAGGCCCTGGGGTCAATCTCTAGCACCGAAAATTAAGAATCTTTTTTTGTTTCTTTTTTGTTTTGTTTTGGTACTGGGAATCAAACTCAGGGCCTTACCCTTGCCAGCCAGGCACTGCATTGCTGAGCTATATCCCCAGCCCAAAAAAGGATTTTTAAAATTAATATATTAGAAAAAGCTGTGGATCATTAGACAGTGTATCAAGAATCTAAATTCTTGGTATTTTAAATCTCACCAATTATAAAAATAATATAAACAATTTGTAAAAAGGACACAATTTTAAATATGGGGACATATGCTGAAGTTCTCTTGAGGAAAAGTCTTTACTGACCAATAATTAATTCTAATGATCTTTGTAATACTAACATGTCTATTATTTCCACTAAAGACATTAGGAAAATATTTGATCATTTAACTTTAACCCATAAAAAAGCTTTAAGGGTTCATCATTTCAAATGAATTCTAAATCTGAAAACTAAAAAATGTTAAGAAATTCATAACTATGGTATTACTGCAAATTATAAACAGTGAGGAACAAGTTCTATTGAGTTTTATGGTGGAGTTTATTTTGGAAACAAAGAATTTGGAATGATAATTTTAAAAAAATCTGTCTTCATGGTGCTTTGCAGTGATCTAATGAAGAGGTCAGTTGAGACTAATGAGATCAGCTTAGTTCTTCATTTTCTATAATGCTAGAATAAAAGTGTCTTGGGAAGCTCCAGCCAATTGCAAAACCCAGCTTCATATTACCAGAAAAACAAAAGCCTGACATTATTACTTCCAAACCTGAGCATTACCAAAAAATGCTGAATGATGGAGGTATAGTTTTCCTTTGACATTATGCAACTCAGAAGTTCTTGAAGTAACTGAATTAAAACTTTAGTAACATAAATTATCTGACTTACTGAATGAGCTCTAAGGACAGCGATTATCTTTGAGAGGGCCATGTTCCAAAGTTCATCAGTGTATGCCCTGGTTACCAATCCTTGCGTCACATGTAAAATGTGATCTTCCACCACAAAGAACCTAAAACAGTAATTACCAACATAGCATGTGGTTTTTTAAAAATCCAAATAGAAAATAATTATTTCTGACATTTAGCATAATATGAAACTGATACTTTATTTTCATATTAGATACATACCCCACAATTTGAGTGAAATATCTTCTATAGCCATCAACTGTTTCATGCTTTAAATGAAAAATAAAAATCAAATTTAAACCAATAAATACCAGCAACACAAAAGTTCCAAATCACTAAAAATTCTTCAGCAAATATTTATTGAGAGCCTTCTATAAGCTGCATACATTGTTAGGTGCCACGGATACACTTGTAAATAACAAAAAGTCTTTACCCTAACGGAATGTTCATTTGACAGGAGATAAGACAATAAACAGGTTAAAAAGTAAATGAGATTTCAGAACCCCTTTCTCAGCATTCTAGTTGAAACCACCATCAGCTCTCACTTGGGCTAATATGTCATCTCACCTAGTCACCCCAGCTTCCAAGCTTGCCTTCCCATACTCTATTCTCCATATACAGTAGTTGTCAATATTTTTCAAACAGTAATGAGAACATTATATCTTCTGCCAAAAACCCTTTAGTGCCTTTTCATATGATACACAACAAAAACCAAACTCCTTAAAAACAGTCTACAATTGCCTATTGTTTATAATTTTAACAAAAGGTATAAAGTAAAACACTTAATTGTCTGACTTTCATTCATAATGTAATTTACATAAAATATCTCATAGTTCAATTAAGTTTGAAAGGTATATTTTCATGTTTTATAAATCTGATCAAATTTTCAAATACCTGTGGTTTTATCCATTTTAGGGGGTAAGATTATTAGTACTTTTTAACATAAAAATACTACAATCAGGAAATGCAGTCCAAGTGACTCTAAACATTTGAAATTTTCTAGTACTTGATTTATAACATATTATATGATCCAATTTGTATAACATTCCATGTATGCTTGAAAAGCGTATGTTTTTACAATTGTTCAAGCAAGAGTCTCTATATTTCATTACATCAAGCCTCTTAAGCATTTTCTGTATCCTTACTGACAGTCTACTTGGTTAACAAGACACTGGGACAAAATGTCTCAGTGGGATACTTGTGGATTTCCAATTCTTGAAGTTATGGCAATAACTTGCTTTAAATATTCTGAATTCATAAATTACTCAAAATATTTTGAATTAATGTCATTAAGTGCATATAGGTTTAGAATAGTTTTTTTCTGTAGTATATGAAAGTAGATATTTGGTTTGTTCTTTTAATAGTTACTTTAAAATCACATTATACATCCTTAAATAATCAAACTCTAAAACAGTCAAGTTTTTATTGTTCTTCTAGATAACTAAGACACTGAAGAATGATTCGCTTTCATTAACTTCAATTCACTCCAATGTCTATTACTGTGAATTTTAATTTATGTTCAAATGCATACTATCTTGATAATTTCCTGCAATCAATATAGATTTACTATAGTGATTTCTTTGCTATTGTATGTACCTCCATTATCTTTCAATTTTTTCACTTAGAATGATGCTTTTGAAATACCTACATGTACATACATGTTATTAAGTGCTTTTTATTGCTGAGTAGCATTTCATTATATGAATGCATAATAATTTGTTTATTCATGCTGGTGTACTACAATTTACCTAGTTTTATTTTTGTTTGTTTGTTTTGGTACCGGGGATCAAGCTCGGGTCTTTGCGCTTGCGCAGCAGGCGGTGAAATCACTGAGCTAAATCCCCGGCCCTTAACCAGTTTTAGTACACAGAAATTCATGGTATTTCTAACTTTGTGCAATTATTAATTTAACTACTATAAACATTCACATACAGGCCACTTTGTAAAATAATATTTTTATTTTTCATAAGTAATGGCAGGACTATGGGACTATATAATTCATCATTATGAACTGCCAAAAAGTTTTCCAAAGTGTCAATGTAATTTTCTAACTCATCAGAAGTATAAGAGAGATCTAGTTGTTCCACATCCTCATTAGCACTTGGTACCATCAGTCTTTAAAGGTTAATCATTGTAGTAAATATGTAGTGGTAATTCACTGAAATTTGAATTTTATTTCCTTGATAAAAAAGTACACTGAATATCTTTTCATGTGCTTATTTAACATCTGTATAGCTTTCATAAAATGTTAATTCAAATCATTTTTTGCCCATTTTAAAAGCTAGTTTGTCTTTAATTGCTGAGCTATATGGGTTCTTTATATATTCTGGAAACGAGCTCTTTGTTACACATGAGTTTGACATGTATTTTCTCCAAGCTTTATCTTGCCTTTTAATTTTGACAGCACCTTTTGAAGAGAAGTTGTTAATTTCACTATTCATCTGGTATTTTTCTTTATGGCTTATGCCTAAGAACACAAAGATCTTTGTTTTCTTCTAAAAGTTTTATAATTTTAGCTCTTATATTTAGGTTTATCCTTCACACTAAAATCAGGAACAAGACAAGGATGCTGACTATCACCACTCCTGTTCAATATAGTTTAGGAAACATTAGCCACAGCAATTAGACAAGAGAAAGAAATAAAAGGAATAAAGATAGGAAATGAAGAAGTCAAATTGTCGGAGTGTGGGCTCGGCTACTTGCTCTCATCTCCCTTGGGTCCACTGTCCTCTAGAGACCAAGCACCATGCCTTCAATTAAGTTGCAGAGTTCTGATGGAGAGATATTTGAAGTTGATGTTGAAATTGCCAGTCTATGACAATCAAGACCATGTTGGAAGATTTGGGAATGGATGATGAAGGAGATGATGACCCAGTTCCTCTACCAAATGTTAATGCAGCAATATTAAAAGGGGTGATTTTGTGGTGCACCCACAAGGATGACCCTCCTCCTCCTAAGGGTGACAAGAACAAAGAAAAGTGAACAGATGATATCCCTGATGGGACCAAGAATTCCTGAAAGTTGACCAAGGAACTCTTTTTGAACTTATTCTGGCAGCATACTACCTAGACATCAAAGGCTTGCTTGATGTTACATGCAAGACTGTTGACAATATGATCAAGGGGAAAACTCCTGAGGAGATTCGTTTAAGACCTTCAATATCAAAAATGACTTTACTGAAGAGGAGGAAGCCCAGGTACACAAGGAGAACCAGTGGTGTGAAGAGAAGTGAAATGTTGTGCCTGACACTGTAACACTATAAGGATTGTTCCAAATACTAGTTGCACTGCTTTGTTTATAATTGTTAATATTAGACAAACAGTAGACAAATGCGGCAGCAAATCAGTTGTACTAGCATAATATTGTTCTCATTGCATGTGTAGCTTCACTACAGATTCCAAACCAATGACTGAATTTCTTCTAGTCTGAGCAAATATTCTGAATAAAATGGAACTGTGGGTTCTCTGTAGAAAGTTGACATTTTGAGCTTTTCCTCTTTTTTGTAAAGTGATTTCTTCCTAGTTTATTGTTCATCTGATGTTAGTGAGCTTTTAAAAGTTGACACTGTAAATAAAACAACTTGCAAAAAGTTTTCTGAAATAGAATTAACAAAATATTATCTTTATTCCAAAGTTGGAAACTGGAAAAAGGCACTTGAAATAACTGTTCCAAGTGGGGTTATTTAGGATATCTTCCAGTCTCCAGAGTCAAGCAGAATCACTGGTATAGATAGACCTGTATGTAGCAGAGCTCCCTTAGTTGGACCTGAGGTCTTATTTTATTTGTTTTTAAATTTTTAATCTTCACAGACTTGAGTACGTTGCCTAGAGACTCAGTAACTACCAAGTTTGTGGTTTGGGAGAGAAATGTAACTAAACAGTTTGTTAGCTTTTCAACTAAAGACAACACTTACTTCAAAAAAAAAAAAGTCAAATTGTCATTATTTTGCAGATGACACGATACTCTACCAAAAGACCCCAAGAACTCCACCAAAAGTCTTCTAGACTTACTAACCAAATTCAGTAAAGTAGCTGGATACAAGGTCAACACACAAAAATCAATAGCTTTCCTGTACACCAATGACAGACTCACTGAGACAGAAATAGGGCAAACAATTCCTTTCACAATAGCATCCAAAAAACTGAAATATCTAGGAATCAACCTAACAAAAGAAATCAAAGACCTCTTCTCTGAAAACTATAGCACTTTGAAAAGAGAGATAGAAGGGAATATCAGAAAATGGAAAGACATCCCTTGATCCTGGGTAGGAAGGATCACCATAGTGAAAATGGCTATACTTCCAAAATTGCTATATAGATTCAATGCAATCCCAATTGAAATGCCAGCAGCATACTTCACAGGCCTCGAGAAAACAATCCAAAAATTCATTTGGAACAAGAGACCTAGAATAGCAAAAGCAATTCTATGTAACAGAGACATGGCAGGGGGTATCACAACCCCCAATTTGAAACTATACTACAAAGCTACTGTGATAAAAACAGCATTGTACTGGCAAATAAAAAGACCTGAAGACCAGTGGAACAGATTAGAAGATGCAGAAACAACTGTAGACACACTTAGCCACCTCATCTTTGACAAAGGAGCCAAACACCCTCACTGGAGGAAGGATAGTCTCTTTAATAAACAGTGCTGAAGAAACTGGGTTGCAACTTGCCAAAGACTAAAACTAGACCTATATCTCTCACCATCCACTAATCTAAAATCGAAATGGATTAAAGATCTAAATATAAAAACAGAAACGCTGGAACAAAAGTTAGGTAGAACTCTTGAAGACACTGGGGTAGGAAAAGACTTTATGAACAAAACCTCAGTTGCC